AAAAAAAAAGATCAAGGGCACAGAAACCCATCAGTGTCCTGCTTCTCCACCCAGGTGTGGCCAGGGAGCCCTGCTCAGGGTTGCAGGGTGGCATTGGCAGCAACAGGGACCATGTGCATTGAGCCATGCACACACATTAGCCCAGCCCTCTCCTGATCACTGTGAATCTGCAAGGAACACCATTCACAGTGATAAGTGGATTCTAGACAATAAAGACAGCTGACTGTCAAGCCACCAGTTTACCTAAGGCTTCCTGTAAGCTAACTACATGGTGTAAACCACCATAACACACAAGTACTTTCTTAGTTCACCACCACATTCTTAAAAACAGCAGCACCAGAACTAGTTTTGGTAGCTCCTAGACTGACCCTGACAAAGAGCAGTGATCAAGGACTGAGAGATCTCCCGTGTTTAGCAGTGTACTGACCCCTATTCAAATGCTTCTGTGTGCAGGTGCGCAGGGACTGGATCCTCAGCTGTGGGCAACACTGATGCCACAACTTACTTTCCTAACACACAGCTCTGTTCTGAACACAAACCTACCTAAAGGAATCCTAATTTTCCTTCTAGTGAAGGCAAATTGTACATATGTAGTCTAATCTTTTACAAGAACCTGTTTTGTCATTAAAATAATGATGTTACTTATCTAGTCAATGTTAGGTTTTTGTTGCTGTTTCAGTGCCACCTGTGACTTCTGTCTTTAAATATCCCTCAAAGCAGCAAGTAGATTCCTGGGCGTGACCAGCCACAACGAGCTGGCCTTCTGGCTCCCGGTCTACACCATACTTCATCAAACAACCCAAACGTCTAGGCTACCATGGAGGCTGAATTACCTTTACACCCTCAGAGAGGATGGTTCCTCCAGGTCAGGGTGGAGATCATTAGCACGGGAGCTCGCATTGCGGCTGCCTGCACCGTACCTAGACTGAATAAATAGAGGACCTCAGTTTCATTGCTGTCAGTCCTTTCAATGAGAGTACAAACTCACTCATAAACAGAGAAAATAAAAAAAAAATGTAAATTCAGGGACTGAAATTCAAATCTCACTTATTATCTGGCAAACCTCCGAGAGAGAATCTACTTCAAGTGACACCTGAAAGACACATGCTTCCAAATTCTACAGCCAGGGTCCCACTGGAGCTGGTCTCAACTGCAGCTTCTTACTGTTCTTTGCCAGGAGAAACGAGCTTTCTCAGCCATTGCACTGCAGCATATGCATGTAACACAAAGCTGTCAAACACACCGTATACTCCTCAAAAAAGAAAAATAAAAGGGCCGGGGACTATGGAAGCAGTTCAAAGGTTATACCTACCAATTATTCTGTAGACAATATACCCAATTTTTAAAACTATATAAAATGCATATTAAAACTTACTCTCCAATTTTTTGAAGTTCACCACCCCTTCCTGTATAAAGTGTCAAACATCCTTTCCACATGGACGCATACCTAGAGGGGAAAATGTGTATGTGAAAACTTACATATACATGCATATGCAAACATGTATATGAAAATTATGTATACTTTCATCTGAAATCAAGTAAATCTTCACACTGTATTTTTGGAGTAAGGAAGTATAAGTGGTATCACTCTCAAAGTCTACCACATTAAATCAAATACTATAACTTCGGTTTTAACTTGCTACTTTGAAAGAATTGTATAGCCAAATATTGCCCTGGAAAGTAAGAAAACAAGCAAGTGTTATACCCAGAAGAATACAACTTCAGTCAGCTAACAAAAGAAAAGTTTTCAGTTATAGAAACTTAAGCAGAAGTTATTTTTCAGCCACAGTACATGCAAAAGCAATACCCTAATGTTTAACTTTTATACTTATGAACATGGTCTAGTAAGATACTGACAACAACAGTTTTTCTTATTAAGAATGTACAAAGGGTATGAGGTGTCCCTAGAAAGCCTCCCTAGAAAGATACAAGGTTCCCAAACTCGTGAGGTTTGGAAGAATTTAACAAAGTTACTTAAAAAGGAAAAAAAAAAAAAAAAGAAAGAAAAGAAACTAAAGTAAAAAATCTGTCATACATTTGCTTAAAAATTTGCAACTTTTGATGGCAACCTGGTTGAACAATTGCTCACCCTGAACATTATAAATGCCGAAGACACCAGTAAACAGCTCTAATATAAAACTAAGAAGATGCAATCAATGGCATCAAGTCAGCCCGAGTTTTGGTTTTCAATGGTTTTTGTGGTATAAATAACTTCATGACTAAAAATGACTGCATTAGCTAAATAAAGAGTAGCCTAATAAAGTTCATCTTTTAGTACAGATTAACAAGAAATTTATTAGTTTCACATTATAAAGTTCTCTTCATTTTAGTCAGTGTTTAGTTAATCAAAGACTCCATTCATGGCTCAAGTCATACAAAGACTGATTTAGGAGACAGTGCATTAACATTTTACCTTACAAAAGTCAAATTGAGCATTTTTGGTTTTAAAAATTCCAGTTATGTTCAGACTAAGTAGAGTGCTTTTAGTAAAGTGTTTTAAGTGTTTCTTAGGGTCTTGGAATGTTACTTAGTAAGTAAGGGGTTGTCATTTTCACTTTAAGGAAGCTGATCACCATGGAGGAATCAAATTCTCAATGTCACACAGCACTAAGAAACAGAACTTCTTTAGCTGCTTTACATTTTCCTTTGTAACTGTGCTCCTTAAAATGTGATACACATTGTGAAACCAGGTTTAACATTTGGCAAATTTTTTTGGTGAAAACATTACTCATGATGATATGTAAATATGAAACAGATGATATTTTGAATATATAAAAACATTTTAACCACTGGATGAAAGAGGTTTGGAGAGTTGGAAAGCTTTCAGGTTACACTAATCTTAGCCACACCCTTCCAGATAGGAACTTCTCTGTGTAAGTTGCAAAGACGTAATTAGCGTCCTGAGTCAGTGTGAGAGAGGCGTCTTAGTCCTGCCTCTCACTTCCTGCTTTGATGATGTACCACCTCACTTCCTGTGGATGTGGTAAGGCCTGCAAGAGACGATCTACACGCAGGGTCTGCCTTCCTCAAGTCAGGACTGACAAACCAGCACTATCCTACTGGTCCCCCAAAAGTTCCAAATCTTATTTTCAAAATCCTTTCCCGGTCTTTCAGCTTCCTAACATAAAGCTCCGGTATATTTTTGACAGTCTATCAAAAAAAAAAAGTGTGAATTATTCTTGAAAACCACCAATGTGCTTCCGGAAGAAGGAATCTAGCTGCCTGTGCGAACACTGCCCTCACAGCACAGGACACAAGAATGTTTCAGAATGAACCTCCCAGATACTAAAACCCCTCCTCAGTTTTTTCAAGTATAAATTTGACAAACAGGAAATGCTAGATTCAAGCCCATTTGTAATTTATGTCCACTTTGCTTAAATAATTACAACCACAAGTAAAATATTGGCAAGCTTTCAAGTCATTAAAAAAGGGGGAGGGGCGGAGAGAAAAAGAATTGACAATTCTACTGAATAAGCAACTTAGAAAAAAAGATAAAGTGCAGATTACAACAAGCTATGAAAAAGGTTGCCTAACTTCCAGAATAGCTTTAAAAACAGAGCTAACCTATAAACTTAAGGGTGGAGTCTGGGAGTGGGGGGCGAGTTGCCGCGTGAAATTGACAGTAATTGCAAAGGTGTGTGACAGCCCACATTGCAAGTTAACACCCCAGGGGCCCTCGGAGGAGACACTGCACTTCACGCCTGGGGTCCCCCAGCCAATCCCGACTGTGTAAACTGTCACTGGCGCCCACCCCACTTCCAAGCACACCTACCCTCGGGTCAACCGAATAATATCCCCTGGCTGTATAAGACCTCCGATCTCATCCCACACGGAAATAGTGATGCTGCCCGTTTTATCAGCTACTTTGCAGGATCTCACTTCATGGCCGTCTTTGGTTTTGGTCACGCGTCCTGTGAGGATTTAAAAATCAAGAAGGGGGGATGGGGGAAGGCGTGTGTTAGATAACGAGGTCGTCCGCCGAGGCTCTCCTCCTCCTCCGGTGTTTGCTTACGGGCCACCGGGCGCCGGCTGCGGGGAGGACCCGGCCACCGGGGCCACGTGGGCGGGGGAGGGGAGTCGCCGCTCCGGGCGGCAGCGCCCCCTTCCCGACGCCCCGGGCCGCGGAGCAGGGCTGCGGACCCCACTTACCTATCTCCAGGACAATAAAGACGACATTTAAGTTTTTCAGTCCGGGCTTAATGTCTTTTATAAAAAGAGGTGGGTCGTTGAACCCATTCATATTGAGGCAGGTGCGGCTACGGCTGCGGAGACACCCGTGGGCAGGGCGGGGACAAAGCTCTGCAACCCACCCCCCACCCCGGGCCCGGGGCGAGGACGGCGGAGGGGCGACCTTGGGCGGGGGTGGCGAGGGGTGCAAGGCGGTTATTCAGGGACCGGGGGACCAGCCCGCACGGCACTGAGTACAAAAAAAGAAGAAAAAAAAACGCTCCCAAGTTCAAAAAAAAAAAAAAAAAGACGAACCACTCCGCACACCAACCCCGCTCCCAACCCTGCCACAAGAACGCAAGCGTGCGAACTGCCCCCTTCTCGGGATAGAAGAAAGAAAGGCTGCGAGGAACACCTCTGCCCCAGCCACGCTCCCGCACGGGCGTTCGCCCGGCCCGTCGGGGTTCCGGGAAGAGACGGGCAGTGACAGCAACACAGAGCGCGAGCAGCGATGCCGCACACCCGGCGTCCCACACAGCGACTGCGGAACGAGCCCGTGCGCCGGCTGCACCCCAGCCCGCCCCGCCCCTTATGACGCCAGGCAGCGTCGGCACGCCCGCCGCCACGCCCTCCCGGCGCCAGAAGCCGGCCTCGCTCCGCCCCCCCGGGGGGCTGCCAGCGCACGCCCCGCCCTCTCGGCCTTCCAATCCGCTCGCGGCCCCGCCCGGCCCCGCCCTCCGTCCCGCCCCGGCCGTCGGCGCGTCACGTCGATCCCGCCCTTCCTCGCCTTCGTTCGCGTTCGGTTGCCGGCTACCTCACTTCAGGGATTCGTGCTTTTTTTTTTTTTTTTAATTCGGGTTCCTCAGGCCCTCACCCCTGACCTTTAGTCAGACGGTCTCAGAGAAGGGTTGGGTTTAGAGGTGGGTACGAGTTTGCAGCTGAGTGCTGGCACGGGTGGCTGGTCCCGGACCGTGGGGAAACTGGCCGGATGGTGAGGGGGCCCGTGGCTTGGCAGAGGGAACGTGGAAGTCGGCGCAGCTGTGCCGTGTTAAGCATGTTTCAGTGGAGCTCCATAAGGATGGGTGCTCTGCCCAGGGTCCTCCAGCAACTTGAGAGCAGACGGGACTGCGACACAAATGCCTTTGGTCACCCGCCGCCCGGGACCTCAAACACAAAACAAGTTATTAAAATCCTCAGACGTTTCCTGTACTCCTCCCCTCCCCAGCACGCTCCTCCCGCCTTCCACCTTGCCGTCTTTACTTTGGGAAACCCTCAAACACTATACCTTAGAGAGGGGGAGAAAAAGTGAATAAAGCTTTCCTCAAGTCACGTAATGAAATTAATGCTTTAGACACAACGCCGGGCCCTAACTAGTCGCTGGTTATGTGGCTTTAGGATAAATGGTTGAGCTTTCTAGTCAGTATCGCCACCTGAGAAGCAGACCAGTGGATACTGCTTTCGAGAGGATTAAATGGGACTGTAAACTGTCCAGCTGGTGTTTGACAAAAAGTGGATGCTGGACATCTTGCCCTCACCGATTTCCTGTTCCTGAAGAAAAAACAATAATACTGTAATAGCACAAACTGTGACTGCTTAATCTTCTGTCAGCTCTATGTGGTAACTGCTCATTTTAATCCTCATTTGCAGCTGCTGTAACCCCACCAGAGAGCTAGAAAATGACCAGACTGGGTTGTTAATCCAAGTAGTCCTCACCCACGAGCTCTCCAGGCTGAAGGTAATTTTGAGGTTTAAATCATTAGTGGTAGCAGCAGGAGGTGTTGGGTTGAAAGCATTGAACTATCTGTGGTGGTAACATGGGGAAGGGCAGCAAGAAGTCTTAATCCTCCCTGCAGAATCGTTTTAGGGGGAATACTACTCCCCCCCACCCCCCGCAAGTGCTACATTATGACCCTAGAAAAAGAGTTTCAAACTATTCACATTAGCATGAGTCAAGGCATTCTTAAGGAAGTTGCTTCCACATCATGAACCAAGGATTCCCAGAGTGCCAAAGACACTGAGGTCATACTGCAGGGGGGTGGAAAATAATATAAGCATGAGTTTGAGTATCAGACAAGTGGTACAACATGACAGTCCATGGCAGATCCACCATGTCCCACCTCAGGGCTCCCAAAGGCTCGATTATCTGGCAGGACTTGACACTTCAATTGCCTTCAAAGCTGTGTCTTATTTTTATTTATTTTTCAGAGTTATATCTTTTAACCCAGGAGGAACATTCTTACAGCAGCTATTCTTAAGTCTTATCTTTGTCTTATCTTTACTTTTTAAGGTTTGATAGCATCTTAAAAAGATTAATGATAGACAGGAAACCAGTTAAAACTGTTGAGCAGAACAATGACCAAGAGATGGGGAAAAGAAAGCTAGCCACGCCCTGAGCTGACGGTATAGGCGTTTTGTAAAGAGGAACCAGGTGTTTAGGAAGCCAAGCCTCACAAAAGCAGAAGTTGGAGCTTGGAGAAGTAGCCCAGGCCTTGGCTTCCTCCCTCCCCTGGGACAAGCTCAGCTGAAGGCCTCTTCCCTCCATCTTAATTCTGCAGTTCTCAGGGAGGAAATGGCTCTCATTACCCCCAAGCTGATGACAACCTTTAAAAGCAAGATGGCGTTGGAACTCCAGCCCAAGCTTGTGCTTGTTTGGTTCAGCTACCCCTATAACAAGGTCACAAATTAGTGGTTAAAAGAGAAAAGAGGTGTCAAGAACTATTGTGTGTAGGTGGTCTTTCCTAATATAACCATTCATTGACATAAAGCAGTCTCTCATACTCAGCTTACCTGATGAGGACATCATGTTGATATGCAAATTCTCTGTAGTGAGTTCACAGCACTATTCCATGTTCGCCTTCTAAGACCATTATTTAAAAAATTTTTCTTTTTTAATATTGTTTACAAAGTTGAGAGGGAATGCACACCTACTAGCCTCTGATTAGGTTGGGGAGGGTCAGATATGGAGGACGGTGGTAGGGACATATTTCAGGTCTCTCCCTCTCCCTCTTGCTCTCTCCTGTGTGTGTTGGTGGGGGGGGGGGGTGAGGGGGCGGGGGAAGCGCCTTACTGTCAAATTACATCAGCATCTGGGGATGAGGGACATTCATATAATGACACCTTCAACACCCTAATGTGGAGAAGAGTGTTCTGAGAGTGTTACTGCAGTGGTTTTGATAGTTCTGAGAAATTGTTGGTTTTGTTGCTCCACGTGTTTGAGAAAATCTTGCCAAGGTCTATGCTTTGGGTTGTTTTGTTTTTTGTACCCAAAACATAAGCCTATTCTGAAGTGAAAGACTCTTCTACTTCATGGCCAGAACCTAAACTCTGTGTAAAGAAGTTGCCGAGGGGGTAGGCTTTGTGTCTGTCAGTTAAGTCAAGTGTGCTAGAAACTCTTGCTTGGCATATTAGAGTGCTTGGTTAAGGTCCGAATTCTACTTCCCATTCCACATTCCATTCCTGCTAAAGAACGCCCTAAGAGGCAGCAGGTGATGACTCAAGCTTTTGAGTTCCTGCCGTCTGCATGGAAGACCCCACTTTTAGGGTCTCAGCCCTAACTATTGCAGGTATCTGAAGAGTGAGCCAGGAGATGCTTCATTCTCTTTCTCCCCCTTTAAAATAAAATGAAAAAATATATAACATATATATATAAGATGTTGCTTATTGACATCCAGTGTTGCACAAAAGGCCATTCCTAGAATACTGTCTATAGCTGTTTCTGCTTACAGAGGTTCTTAGTAATGCAAATTTTACTGTAAATTTTGCCCAACACCCAGAACCCATGCTCACTCCAAGATTTTGTTCCTGTGATCAAGATCATTTTCACACTCATCTGTAGAAAACTGTTGCAACAATAAAACAGCTCAGCATCTTTATACCCTTTTAGGCTATGAGGGGAAACTCACGATAAAGGAATTAGTAAGAACCACAGTGTTCTCACATTGTAGGGATAACCCACTTTGTAACATTTTTGGCAACGTCTTTTCTGAAAAACATTTGAATAAAGATTCAAAAAGTAATATTTAGTAATAATGGCAGCAGTAGTCTCCCAAACCATAATGAAAAAATGCTAACACATGGAACATGTGCTTATGTCAGGCTGTGGGAAAACATCCAGCAGCATAGCTGGGACAGCAGAGGCCTGTGGGAGGGATCCTGTTGAGAAGAGGCTCAAGGAGAGAGGAAGTGGAAGGCCTCTCACCCAGAGTGTACTTGTTATACGTGACTGAGTCAATGATTTGACTCAGGTGTTAGAAGTGGGGAATGTTATGAGGTGCAGCCAGTGATAGCCAGCACCTGTGTCCCCTTCTCTCTGTCATAAAGGTGGGTACTAACAGCAATGGAATGTTAATTCCATCCTCAGCTACTCCCCACCACCACTTAGGTATTTGCTCCTGCCCACCTGTGACTCGCCTATCAACTGAGATGGGATGGTATTGCGTTGTTGTGTCATCACTCCCCTCATGAGCCCCTTTAAATTAAAAGGGGGGGGGGTGGGAGGTTCGCTCTCTTTCTGGTCAGGTGCTTCCATTACTCTGGCACCTCGATTCTTGGCTGACCCAGGACAGGTAATTTCCTGAGGATGGTCCCTGTGTACTGCTTAGATTGGACAATGGATATAGTAATGCTGTTTCTGGTTTGTGTGCTATCAGGAGTTCCAGGAGAGGTGAGGCCTAGCAGTGATGGAATGTGGGCAGAGAAGCCAGGGAAAGGTGAATGTCTGCAGCTTTGTAAGTGTATTCAGGTTATTTGTTTCATGTTTCTTAGGATAACATATTGTTGGGCAAGCTGGGACATAGGTCTTAAGCTTAATGGATGCACTTAAGGGTAATGACCATTTGTTCCTCTTGGGATTATGTTTGGACGGATTATGATTGGTTGGATTGTCATATGGACTTGTGATTTACTATTTCTAGTGTGCTCTATTATCACCAAGCTTGGTTAATAAAGACTCCTTAATAAAACCTTAGGCATGTCTGGTGGGATCTCGCAACATTCTGTTGCCCCCAGTGAGTCCTTGGATATGCTTTCCTGTACTTGATGATAGGCAAACATCTTTGCTCTTTCTGGTCAATTAGCCAAGGGCAGATAGTAGTCCTTATCTATTCCCAACTTGATAATGCTTTGAGCAGGTCGGCTTAGCCTTCTTGAACTCTGATCTAACTTTGATTTGTGTCTCATCTGTTGTTTTACTAAGTGTATGAGAACTGTAACCCTGGAAAAAAAAACTTTGTCAGTTGCCTAAGAGAGCACTGTCGCCCCATTTCTTCTCAGTTGCATCTCCTCCCCAGGAACCTGCAAGGTAAATTTGCATCAAGTGCTTTACACATATTAGTATTAATAATACGTTTGATGGTTTTCATTTTATAGTAAAATATGGAACTGGGATTTAAAACCAACTATCATGTAATAATTCTTTCCCAGACAATGTTTATGCTCTTAAAAGTGAATTGCTTTGGTTCTCAACGGGTGGTTCAGTTTTTTGTTTTTAATTTTTATTTTTCATGATACAGTTTTATAGGCTCAGGAACTTGCAGGGATTTCCCCTTCCACCCACTCATTTCCATTCTTCCTCCCGCAGTTTTTCCTATATTATTATAATAGTGTTGTCCGTCAGCAATAGTCTCAAGTCCAACATTCTGCTATTTAAATGTATCCTGACATTGTAGATAACAGACAATGGTAGAGAGTCCAGCATCCTATTGTCAAGATGTGTTTGAGAGCTTTGGAGTCCATCTTTTATTCGGGAGTAGTGATGCATGCTGCACGGCATCTTCATTTCTCAATATGCTAGTTAATCTCCTTTATATGGTTCCTCTAGATGAATATAGGGCTTGTAATCAGCCACATATTACCTGATGCAGTACAGTGGAATGGTACAGTACTTGTATGGAATCACGTTGAAGTTCCGTTGAGAAGAAATGCATCCCAGGATAGATTAATCCAACTCAGCTATGTGATCTTTTAATGAAATTGTAAACAGCTTTGGCTTCTGCATCTTACAAAGCTTTTTCCGAGCATACTGTATGTCTGCCTACCTGGCTTGTTTATTCAGATGAAAAAATCCAAGATTTAATTGATAACTGAAGGCTGACTTTTAAAAATATACTTTTTTTTTCCATTGTGGCAGTTTTATCTGATTGGAAAATAGTCATGATCCAAACAAAGAATAGTCATGATCTGCCAATGTAATAAGACTATTAGAAAATCCCACAAATCACAGGTACAAAGAGATACTTTTTTTTAATTGAGAATTCAAGTTCTTATGCATGCATACACACATGCATACCACCAGTAAGAAACAGTAAATACTTCTGTATAAAACTTGAATTAAGAGCATTTCACATTTGAACACAGATGATCCCCACTGGAAACATGCTTACAGATAGTGTGAGCTTAACTCCTTTAATTAGTGTGAGAAGGACACAGCCCTGAGACGTGAATAGGGTTACCAGTTTTTCTCTACAGCCCGTGACAAATGAACAGATCTCAGTCATAATCACCAAAGGCTATTAATAAGCACAAAAAGAGAAAACATCAGACGAAACCAATTAAATCAGAACCTGCAAAGGTGGGGCTTGGCAAAAACATATTTTTAACCTCCTACAACCAATTTTGAAAACTATAGAAGATTAAAAGTTACTTTCCAGGATAATTTTATTTGATTTTTGCATACATATTAATATTCTGAAACAATGCTGTCTTTACACTGGCTAGGGAAGTCCTACATTGATACAT